GTGCGGTCTGCGACGTGTTTCTTTTTTTTTAATTTCTATACCTAGGCAACATGACATGTCTTTCGGCCATTGTTTTCTCTTTTTTTTTTTTTCTTTATTTGTATATATATATATATATTTTGCATGGCGTGTTGCTGAGCGTTTGCTCTCAGAACTTTGCTGCAGGACGCTGTATCTGTGGGTTTGATATTTCTTGTGCTTGTCGTCGTCGTCGTTGTTGGTGTGCGTGAGGCGTTGTTTTCATATTTGATTTTGTGCCTTTCTCGTGTGTGTGTGTGTGTGTGTGTGTTTTCCTTTCCGCGATGCAAGTAAATTTGAGCCAATACAGGTAGCGGAATGAATGAAAACAACAAAAAAAAAAAAGAAAACAAGCAAGACGAGAGGAAACAACCAACAAAAATTTAAAAAAAAAAGCTTTCTTTTTTCCCTCTTTTTCAGATATATATATATATATATACATGTAGCCACAAGCTGTTCTCAGCACGTTTTTGTGCTCACTTTCTTTCCGGTACTTTTATATGGACGTGCATGAATGTTTTTGCCTGTTTCTCTCTGCGTTTGTATGCAGGTGACCCCTATTGCGTTATTTTTGTTGTTTTTCTTTGTTCCTTTTTCTTCTCACCACCCCCTTGTTGTGCGCCGGAGAGAAAGTGACCGTACCCTCAGCCACGTCTCAAGGCAGAGACGGTACGGCTCTTCAGCAGTTAGGGAATTTGCGAGGTAGACCGAGAAGCAGAGCGAGCGCAGAGGTGGCGTGATCGACGGGTTGTGCCGGAGAACTCCTGACGAAGGGTACTTAGGGAGGGGTTTACAGACGAAAAGGAAAGAGTCATAAATAGAACAAACCAGTGCGAACAGCGAGAAGTCCCACACACGCGTACACAAAGGGAAAAAAGGGGAGGAGCGAAAGAAAAATATAGGACGCAGCACAGACGGGGAAACTGACGAGTGGCAGGAAAGTGCGTAGGCGGCCTTACGGATATTCGTCGCCTTCTCTCTCCTATTTTAACACCGCCCGAATTCTCTGTTCCTAAAGGAAGCGCGCGTCTTTTTCCGGTCGTCGTTTTGGAATTGGGGAAAGGATTCAGGAGACAAGTGGAAAAAAAAAAAAAAAAAGGAAGGAGCGACTAGACGGTAAGGACAGAGCAGAATAATTGCGGGGACGAGCAGCAGCAGAGGCGGGTTATCTTTTTTTCTTTTTTGTCGAGTGCAGAAAGAGGGGGAGACAGAAAAGATAATAATAAAAGGGAAAGAGGGGCCGAAGACGGAGGGGGAAGGAGGGGAAGGGAATTAAAATAAGAGGAACTTGTTGACTGTTGACTGTCATGATCGACGAAATTGTGAACGATGGCGAGGAGGACTTTATCTTCAACGAGTATGCCATTGATGACACGCTTGATCCGTTGAGCCGCCTGTTAAATTATCATTCTTCGGGGTTCTCGCTTCAGCGGGAATTCCTTTTACGTGAGATTGTCGACACTGTGAAGTTTGCCGGCTTTGATCAAAGTGTAAAGATGATTCTCCCCTTACTAATCGGGTTCGCTTCCGACTGTGAGCCTTTGGTGCGACGAATGCTAGTGCAGCAGCTTCCAGACATGGCCAGGTATTTTCTGGAGCAAGGTGGCGATGCCGGGTACGAATATCTGTTGAGTCGCTTCCTTCCCATTGGATTTGAACTTCTCATAGACAAAAATGTGGAAGTTGGCGCCTCGGCCTTTGCGTCGTTAAAAGAGCTTGCGGAGCTAGTCAAACCAGAGCATGTTCAGAATCACCTGCTTAGTGTTGTTGTTATGCTGGCTCATGATGAACGGGCTGAGGACTATCGTGTGGTGGCGGCTCGCCTTTTTAATGGGTTGGCTGCAATTTTCGGCAAAAACTGTTGCGTAAATGATGTACTGCCTGAACTGGAACTCCTTGCGAACGACAGCAATTTTTCTGTCCGTAAAGCAGTTGGAGCGAACTTGGGTGAGATCAGCAAGGTAGTAGAGGAGAATACGGCGGAGAACGTTGTGCTTCCTATATTTTTGAACTTGTGCGAGGACGAAATTTGGGGGGTTCGTAAGGTGTGTATCACAAGCGCTGAGGGCATTGCGCTTGCTGTTACGCCTGAGACACGTGTTGCGAAGCTTTTACCGGCATACCTCCTCCTTCTTCAAGATTCATCGCAGTGGGTGCGGAATGGTGCCCATGACTCTCTTGGAAATTTTTTGCATACACTTCGACCCTCAGATTTGAGTCCAGCCTTACTGAAATTATATACAGACATGGCGTTCCAGTCGGAAAATGGCGATACGGTTTACAGTGAGCCATGTGCTTTTGCACTGCCTGCAGTGGTGAAGGTGGCAGGAAAGGAGCGGTGGAACGAAGTGGCGGACGCGTATGCCACACTTCTCAAAGACGTAAAGTGGAAGGTTCGCAGATCGCTGGCGTATTCGCTCCATGAAATTGCCCTCATTTTAGGTCAAGAAATCACTGAATCGGACCTTGTCGTCGCCTTTGAGTTGCTTCTAAGAGACTTGGACGAGGTGCGGCTTGGGGTTGTACTACACGCCGATGTTTTTCTTGGCGTTGTGGGACAGGCAACGCGGGAGCGGCTCATACCCTTGCTTTGTCATGCTCCTTTAGAAAGTGAGAATTGGCGAATTCTTAATGTCGTGGCGCAGCGCATTGGGGATGTTGGTGTACTTCTTGACCCGGTTAATAGCACTGCCCTGAATGTTATCATCAACCTAGTGGTCCGTCTCCTGAACGATGGAGTGATGGAGGTGCGCCGGTCAACGTACCGCTCAGCTGCGATGTTGCTGCAGCATCTTGCGAGTGTGGGAAAAGAAAATTCGTGCGGCGGATACGTACAAACGTTAGTGCAGATTGCCGATCTCCACAGCTTTCGGGAACGCCTGATGTTCCCGTACATTGCCGAGGAGGTGGCGAAGCTGGGTGCAACTTCTTTGGTGGAGCGGTACTTTATGGATGGTCTGCTGAAGTTAGCGAATGACGCTGTGGGCAACGTGCGGCTTGCCGTCGACTCCGTGTTGACGCGTACGTTCCTGGTCGATCCATACTGGTCGACGAACCAAAAAATCGCTCGGGTCCAAAAATTACTTCAAGAAAAAAATTCCGACGGCTGAGAACTGCCTCTCCCAATTTCCTCTCCCTAAGCCCTCGGAAAAAGTGGAACAAAAAGAATCTCTCTGGGGGGGGATTCCCACAATGCGGCGAGAGGAATAAAAAGGAAGGCATACCCACACAAAGGCAACAACAACAACAAAAGGAATGAGGGAATGAAAGAACTTTGCCGTGATAAGTGCGTCAACATGTTAGAATACAAATAAGTAATGAAGAGACGGAGAGGGGTGGGGAAAGAATGACAAGGAGGACTCAGAAATTCGTTGCTTCAGTGCGGCGGCAGAGCGAGGGGATGCCGAGTTGGTTATTATTATTATTATTATTTATGCACGGACAACTATCATGTATTGCTGAGGGAGGTGGGAACAATTTGGCGATGAAGAAAAGGAGCAAGGAGAAAGATGGAGGGATGAGAAATCCGCAATGTAGTCAGTTTATATATTTATTGTTCTTTTCTTCACAAATCGCAGTTGTCTCTTTTTATGGTGCCGTGCGGTTTGTTAGGGTTGTTGAAGAAGTGGTGGTGGTGGGAGGCGGGCGACACATGTGGCTTGTTGTTGGCTTGCCGGATAGGGGATCGAGCCATTCCCTGTCTCCCTCGCAGGAGATTATGGGGTGGCGGCGAGGAGAAGAGCTTGACGGACAGATGAAAACGCAAAAAGGAAAAAAATAAAAAAAGGAAAAAAGTCACCGACTTTCCCTAGTAGTTTTGTTCTCACGTTTGTGTTGGGCGCCATGTCACCGGATGCATCAATTTTGATATAATTTACTTTTGTAATTTCCTTTGTTGTCCGGCTTGTTATGACTTTTTTTTTTTTTTCTCCGCTTTTGTTTGTCACGTGTGACTTTGTGTATTTTTTTCGGTCACCGTCTCAACAGATTCCATCCGGGGTTTATTCAACGGGGGGACGGGGATGTAAAGTTGGAGTTTTGCCCCTCCAAAAAAAAAAAAAAAAAAGGAGAATAACGGTGAAAAGAGAAGAAATTTTTTTTTTTTACCGTGGGCGGATGTCGCTATTGCCATTCATGGATACACGGGGATTGCAGTGACATGAGGAGCCTTTTGGCGTATCTCCCTGTCACTCTTTTACCCTAACTTCTTTGGTTTGTTATTTATTATTGTATGTATGCATTGCGTGTGTTTGTGTGTGTGTGTGTGTGTGTGTTTGTGGCTCGTAGCGTTAAACAATAAAGGAAAGTGCGAGATCTGTGTTTTTCTCTGTGTAAATTTTTTTTTTCTTTTTTTACTTCCCTTACTTTATATATAAACACATATAATTTTGCGTGTGTGTGCGTGTGCGTAATTGGGCTTTGTTTCAAATAAATTGTTTTATTTCTCCGTTTATTTTGGCAAATTGACTGTGCTCCTTTACGTGTGAATTCCACACAATTTTTTTTTCTTTGTGTGTGTGCTTGTATGTGGGTGCTGGCAATTGCATGTGAGGGGAACAGAAAAAAAGCAACAACCAAGAAATAGGAAGCTAGCACCTTTGTGTTGCCTCGGGACGTCACAAAAAGGCATTGGAGGTCACGGGGACGAGTGTGGTTGATAGCTGTGGGGGAGTCCTAAAAAAATTCCCCCCTTTTGGTGTTTTTCTCCGTGTGTTTCTGCGTCTTACAACCAGATGGACGCAAAGCCCACTTCTCCTCTCGGATTAGTGCGGCAGCGGCAAAACGCAAAATTGTCGCCTTCTTTTGCACCGAGGGCACCCGCGTGTGTAAAAAGGCGGTCCTCTGCTCAGCGGCGTGCCTTCTCACCTCCGCCCGAGGCGGATGGAAAGGGTCTGAGCAGACAGGGATCAGACGGAGGGATGCCGGCCTCCATCAAACGCCGAGAATTGGGTAAGAAAAAAACGATGTCGAATGCTCCACGGGTGGCGAATTCATTCTTACATGAGAATAAAATTAAAGACGATACGACCGAGCGGAAGATGTTATCGGGCGATGGCGGGGTATTACAACCATCCTTGACAAAATTGAGGCAACAGAGCGCAGGTGACAAAGTGGCGGGTGCCATTGCTTGCAATTCGGCCAACTTACGCTGTGGAATGCGAGAGCTTCGAATTGCCCGTCATGGTCCCATTAAAGGCGTCGTGTGTGAGCAATTGGCACCCGCTTCTTGCGAGGCCGTCACTTCGACGGCAGAAACTGCGGCATTCTGCTCCAAGAAGCAAGCGGAGTTTGAGAAAGCTATTGATACTCTGAACAGTATGATGGAGATTGATGCAAAAAATATTGACCCCAGAGCGTGGGTGACGCGTTTCACGGAGGGAAAGGCCGAGGCACATTTAAGCAAGGAACACTTGCTACCTGTTTGGATTATTGTCCATATGGACTTTGTCATGGCCATTGATATGAATGGTACGGCGCAGCATTGTAATTATGGCAGTTTTTCTGCCTCTCAGGTTACCAGTTTTCCCCCTTGTGGCTGCATTGTTTTTCCATTACGGGACGCGCTGAGAGAGGGTGAGGTACGATTACCAGAGAACGTCTCGGAAGTTGAGGCAATGATGATGCCGGCGACAAGTGAGATCCGATGGGGTGTTCCAGTCGGAGTGCTGTTTATGAACCCACAAGAGCGCATTTCTGTCGTGCGCAATATTTGCCAACTGTTTCTTCCCCTGTTTTTCCGGGAGGCATATCCACAGGGGGTGCCTCTGAGAGGTGTTTGGATACCCGCGGTGTTGGACACAACCTCCACAAAGCCATGCGCAATAAATATTCCAGGAAATGTGCGGGAGTGTGTTTTGTCGTGTATGAGAGATCTTGGTGTTTCAAACGGGAATACCTTCACGGGGGACGGTAGTCGTCTTGGGGGAACGCAGCGGAGTTGCGAATTTCAGCAGCGTGAGTCCGCTCCACCGAACGTGGCGGTTGCGACGTCGTTGACAACACGTCGTGGCAGTGAATTGACGCCAGAAGAAGAGAGGTTACGAGGATCCTCTCAGAGTACAAACTGCGACCTTACCTCCCCGTGGGGAATTCGAGGGAATCAACCGATATTTACTGCCCGACTCCTTACTTCCAGTGCCATCGTGTCTTCGACGGAGTGTCGCACCCCGTGCCATGCCGTGTTGGTGTTTACTCCACGGGGGCTGCTAGAGCTTGTTGCTGAGTCACCGTCTGCAGCAGTCACCGTAAACGATGTCAAGGTGAGCCTACTTCGCTCCGGTCTGGGACGTTCGTTGCGTTTGCAGAGGGATGCAGTCCGTTTTTTGTACGCGCCAAGTCTTCCTGTAATCGAAGATGACGCGTGGATCAACGCACGTTATGTCGTGATGCGTTTGCAGACGCGATAACCAATCGTATAGTTTGCTCATCCTTGCTTTTTTGCTCTAACTTTTTTTTTTCCTCAGTTGCCCGTGTGTGTCTGTGTTTTAGGAAGGTGGGGGCAGGGCGCATATTGTGTTGTGCTCGTTCTTAGCCGCCCGTGAGCATCGTGCCTTGAATGACACAATGAGACGAAGTGTACACATGCACAGACACAAGTAGGGATAAAACGAGCGATGTGAGAGGGATATAAAAGGAAAAAGGGAATGGGCACAAGATGCGGAAAAAATAAGTCAGAGAAACTTTAATTCTTCTTGCTGTTTTCTTGCCAATTTTTTCTTTTTTCCCCCATTTTTTTTTTTTAAAGCAAAAGAAACAAAAGTAATGATGTTAAAAATACATCCCGAGTGCAGCTCTTTTTTTTTTTTTTGATATTTCATGTAAATATATTTAGTGGATTTGAATATTCGTTTATTTTACTTCATTTTGTGTGGAGGATGAGCGATACATTTAATTTAATCAATTGTCTTCTGCTTGCTGCTCTACTCCCCCACCCCTTGCCACCCCGGCTTTCTTTTAAATGTGTGCCTAATTGTTTGCGTGTGCGTGTGTGTCTTTCTACTGCACTTCTTCCCTTTCTCACGGTGTTGTGTTGTGTCCATTCATTCCCTGGATGACACTTGCAGCCGGAAGAATTCACACAAACACTCTCGATTCAAACAAGTAACAGCAAGAAGAAGAAGAAGAAAAAAGAAAAAAAAAAAAAAAAGAAGAAGAAAGAAAAAAGAAAAGTTTTCAACCCTGTAATTTGTCAAGCATTTTTAAAAAGTTTAATTTGCTGACACATATTTCAACAGTAGGTACTTATATAGGGATATAGTTATACACATACTTGTGTGCCGCATAAATACACATATATATATATCTATATATATTTGGGTTCTAAAGGAAGATGATGCGTTTCTGCGCCCGTGCTGGAATTCTTCTCGGTGCTCCCAGCGCCGCCCGCCGACATTTGACTATTGTCGACGAGTTAAAGGCGGCTGTTATGGCGCGTCACGAGGCTGATGCTCCAAAGATGAAGATATTGAAGGAAAAATACAAGAGTGAAAAGCTAAGCGATGCAACCATCGATGCTGCTTACGGTGGCATGCGTGGAATCACTGGTCTGGTCTACGAGTCATCAATGCTCGACAAGGAGCAGGGCATTTGTTTTCGTGGCATGACGATTCCCGAGTGCTGCGAGAAGATCCCAAAGTCGTGGAAAGGAGGCTCCTCGCCGCTTCCTGAGGGAATGTTATGGCTTCTAATGACAGGCTCTATCCCCACCGATAAGCAGGTGAAGGAATTGCACACTGAATTGCATCGCCGCGCCGACAATGAGGCGATTACCGCAGCCACGAAGACGATTGCCTCACTCCCGGAAAACACCCATCCGATGACGCAGCTGTCTACGGGTGTGCTTGCCCTTCAGGCCTTCTCCAAATTTGCACCTGCCTACGCAAGTGGAAAGGCCATCAAGTCGAACTTCTGGGAGTATGCCCTGGAAGACAGCTTGGATATTATTGCCCGCACTCCTTATCTGGCGGCCGCGATTTACAACCGCCTCACAACTGGCAGGGCAGCGGTGCTGAATCCCGCCAACCCTGATCTGGATTGGGCGGCCAATTTTACAAACATGCTTGGCTACCAGGATGAAAAATTCTGGGACTGTATGCGCCTGTACCTTTCCCTCCATGCCGACCACGAGGGTGGCAACGTGTCTGCACACGCAACAACTCTAGTTGCTTCGGCGCTGAGTGATCCGTACCTTTCTTTTTCTGCGGGTCTCAATGGTTTGGCGGGTCCACTGCACGGCTTGGCGAATCAGGAGTCTCTTTCCTACCTATTCGAGATGCGCGACAAGTGCAAGGCGGCTGGAGTGAATATGAAAGATCGTAAAGAACTGGCCGCGGGCCTCGAAAAACTCACATGGGAGCGTCTGAACGCTAAGCGTGTGATACCCGGCTATGGTCATGCTGTGCTGCGCATTCCGGACCCTCGCTATATGTGTCTGCGTGAGTACTGCCTGAAGCACTTCCCCGATGACGAACTCTTCTTTCTTGTCGACACTATATATTCTATCATGCCAGACATTCTGAAAAAACACGGAAAGACGAAAAATCCCTTCCCGAACGTGGACGCCCACTCCGGGATGTTGCTTCAGCACTTTGGCCTCACAGAGCAGAATTTTTACACCGTTCTGTTTGGTATTTCGCGTCAGTTGGGTGCACTTACCGGCGTTGTATGGGACCGGCTGCAGGGCCGCCCCATTGAACGCCCGAAGTCCATCACATCGGACGCACTCTTCAAAAAGTTTAAAATTGAGTAGGCAAACGAAGAATGGAAGAACTGAGAGTGAAAGAGGGGGAAAAAAAGTTGGGATTGGGAGAGAGTTACTGTAGAACTAAAAGTATCCACATAAAAATTTAAAGAATGCGAAGAAAAGAGGAAACGCCAATGTGATGCGGCTCATTTCTTGGGTGTTTTGTTTTTCTTTTCTTTTTTGCTACCTTTGATTTTTGTTTGTTTGTTTTTTTTTCGTTCCTCATGTGGTTTTGTATTTTCCTCTTTCTTGTGTTTCTGCACCCCCCACGCCATCAGGTTTGTTGTCTCCGTCTGAATGTAGACACATGCATGGATATTAGATGTGTTTGTCGATTCATCTGTTGTTGCATGTGGCCTCTTTTTTCTTTTTCTTTTTCCTTTCCTTGCTTGCTTACTTGGCGGATTATTCCTCTTTTTTGGCTGAGGGTTGCCTCGTTATGGTTGCTGTTGTTGTTGCTTATTTGATTGGCCACTGCTTTTTTTATTATATATATTTATATCTGCGGGGCAACGTGGACTGGGGGCAAAGTGGGGAGGAGGGAGAAAAAAGGAGAGGGAGAGAGGGGAAAGAGAAGGCTATCGAAGTGAAAAAGATGGGGACATTATCTGCGGGTTGAAGCCGTCGGGGCGAGTGGTGGAAGTGTGCGGTGGTGTGAGTGCCGTGCGGGGACGAAGTGGGCGTGGCGGAGCACATTTAAAGGGACGAATAAACGCAGGCACACAAGAAAAGCAAAAAGAAAAAAAGAAGAAGTGGGAATTGTTTGAGGCTAACGGATTGAAAATAAAGATGCGATGTGATTGCTTTTCTCTTCTTTTTTTTTTTTTTTGCTTTTGTCTGTCACCTCCTCTGGTCTGTTTGTTTGTTTGTTTGCATCTGAGTGTTGATTTTTGCCTTTACGTTGTGTCTCTTTGCTCTTTTTTTTTTTTTTTTTCCTCCCTCTCCCCCACACCTCCTCCATTCTTTCCTCTCACTCTCTTTCTCCTTTTTTTTTTTTTTT